ATTTTTTGTGCATTCTGAGGCCTACTGCCGGAAGCTCAAGTATTTCTACATGTTTGAAGACAATAAAATACATCATATTATCTCAAGTTTAGAAGTGTTCTAAACTATGACCAATTGAAGTATTGGATAAGTTAGGATAGGATAGAAGTATTTTTGGTGTGAAACACACCAATGAGATAACCTACCGAAAACCAGTGGGGGAAAAACCCTTAAATCTCTCTGAAATCACGAGCTTTTCAAAATGCGCCAAAAGTAAGACTATTGGGGCATATTCACCTATTATGTAATTGATTGATGTTTTGCTTTTTCTTTATACCGATAGGCCTATACTGTTTAGTAAGCAGATATCAACACACATTTATGATGATATTTTTTATGATGCACTCAGAATAATAGGGCGCCACCTAACATTAAGGTGTAAACTCATCTGATGTGCAGTTTAAACTGTTACATCATGGAAGAATAAATGGACAAGTAATTTTTGTTCATATTTTCCCTTATTGACAATGTGAATGTTGTCTCATTTTCTTCTCATCTATGAATGTCTGAAATTGTTTTTTACAGATAAAAAATATAACTCGATACTTTCCTTTTTGAAATGAACAATAAAATGTACTTAAAAGCGAAACTTTATTGTGTATATCGATAAATGACAGGATGGTTTTTTAAAAATATTCTTTGATGTTCAGTTTGTATTAAACTATTATCTTCTATCTATTTAAAATTGTTGTGTCTTCATGCTGAAACGAATGGGCGCAGTTGTGTGAAAAACAAACATTAAAAATTGCCCAGAATGAGTCAGTGTTGATTCACGTATGACTACAACAGCCTATTATGGTTCAGTAAAGCGGATCGTTATTAATAGACAATACAGCTCCTTCTCAGCCGCTGAAGTTGCTTAGGCCTTTCATATGCATATTACCTAGGTATTTCGGAACAGTGGTACAAGCCACGAGAACTGTAGGTCCTCCTTGGTTGCCTAGCATATCGGGTACGGATACGAAGCCGCAGTCGTTAATTAAAGGATTGCGAATTCAAACATGGAGTTGATAGGAATAACGCTAATACTTCTGCATTTCATAGCAATTGCTGATTCCTATTCAGGTGGGGCTGATCCCGGTGCTTGTGTGTCACTTGCGCCAGGTCACGGAGCAGAAGTACAAACCTCAACATCACCTTATAGTATCACATCATCATCGACTTCTTATTCCAACGGTCAAACCGTCACCGGTAAGTAAAAATATTCATTTAATTTTTTTTAATTTGAATTGTATTGTATATAATTTATTTTAATTAGTATGAAAATATGTTACTCAAATTGTGTTTCCTTGATTAAAATCACATAGTTGATAAGTTTTGTGTTTTATTTTTAGTACCTATTTTTTAAAATTTATTTGATGGTTCACATAGAAATGATAATATACATTTGCTTAAAGCAACGACAAACGAATACTATGTACTAATACAATGACTCTTTATATTGAAATGGATTTTAGTTGGGCGTAGGCCTTCTTATGTCTATAGATAAACACATTCAAAGAAACAATATTTTTTTTAATTCCGCCCATCAATCAATTGACGGTACTTAAAACAAATTAAGTTATAATATCGAAAGTTTAAGTTTTAAAATTAAAGGAATTCGTTTAAATTGTTCATCACGTGTCCTACAGAAAATCAATCTGGTTCTATAGACTTCAATTTGAGTAGGAGATTCCATGATAACTTAAGGAGCACATCAATGTCTAGGCCGACATAAGTACAGTGAATCAAAATAAAACCAAATGTTATTTATTCCACAATGTCTAATTCTATTTCCGCTAGTAAAAACATAGGCCTAAATACAGTAATACAATGGCAAGCAGTGGTCTCACTGACCCGGGTTCCAGACTCGTAAACGATGACTTTGAAATTAAATAATCATCAACATTTACGTATTAAATGGTCATAATTTTTAACAGGTGTTCTTTCAAGATTCCGTATTCTTTATTATTTATGTTGATGACTTTTTGATAATATTATTAGTAACATTTTAATACAGGCTGATGACAAAACTCTTTTTCTGTCATACCTGGGTGCTTCTCAATCGTGACCTAGAAACCATCTTGGACTGGGGATCTTCATGGAGATAACATTCAACCACAGATACCCTAATTGCTCATCATCAGTCGTTTAAACATCGTGAATTTCCATCTATAGAAATGGTTTCATTTTCTGTTAGTGAAAGATATTTTTAAATGTATGTACAAAATAGATTTTATTTATTTTCATATTGGGCAGGTGTAAAGCCTACAATATTCTCTCTATGGCCTGATCGTTTGCTCGTTCATTCATTTTGACGGTTCTTTGAACGGTGTGTACCCGAGTATTGTCAATATCCGCAGAAGTGTAATCAAATGTATTGTTATGAAAGCAGATCATTTACAAATTCAACCAGTGTTTTCTGTCGTAAATAAAACAGAAATTGAAGCAGATCGTGACGTGTAGGCTTGGGCGGGTAGTGATATGATATTTCCAAAATGTCATATCAAGATACATCACACATTTCCTATTGTACCGATCCCCGGAGTAACTTTATATGGAACGGCATTATTATTAATTCTAGAAAATGTTAATACGATATTAATTTTAATACATTATTAATGGTTCATGTATGTGTTTGATATGTTACATTGGAGGCTTCTGCCTGCTGCACTGCACTGGTATCCTTAGACGTTTTCTATTTGGCAATAATTTACCATGAAATATGAAATTGCAGCATTTTTGCCTAAATGACAGGTCAACAAACCAATCACATAAAATTTACAACTAGGCCATGAGAACCAAATCCAGAGGATTGGTTGGACCTAATAGGCCTAAAGTGCCTGTGTACCGGGATGGAGTGGATACAGTACATTTCCCGAGGACACAACCAACATCTACAGTGAAAAGTTCGAACCCCAATCTTAAGGTTGATAAGTCCCAATAATGACAACCACTGTAACTAACTCATAATTATTTAACTCTTAATTATTAACGTTGATGTGCACGCTTTCAATCCCACTATCCGCGGTCTAAGCTCAATATATAAAACACTGCATGAAATAATATACATATCAGTCAACCAGGTAATAGAAATGTTGGTTTTAATCTGATGAGATATATGATGGAAAAATGATTACTTATTTCTGAATATAATGGACCCGATTAGCGACGCTCTCATCGATCATTGATGTTAGTAATTCAATAATATTCAACATGCCTCCTTCTTTAGCGGAAGGTGTTAGCAACCCATATCTTTTTACGCAGAAATGCGCAACTTAAATGCCGATTAATATCTATAATTAAGTTGATGCTTAGGTCTATTACTTTAGGCTGTATAGACGCATTACTACTTAGACAATTATATATGTTGGTGCCTCGTATTGAACAAGTTACGTAATGTATATAAGATTGTTTATGACAGTAAGAACTGAACTGCAAATTTGATTGATTAAAATATACAGAAATATAATATTTATATTGAGTGTATTAAAATATTAAAACTTAACAGGCGACAAATTGCATTAAAACAATATATAAAACGGTATATATATATATATATGTATATATATATGCACCAACACTAATGATTACGTATCTTGTTTTTAACAATCTAAATTGTGTATTGTACTAATTGGTACTTTTATGTATCGGATTATCACTCGTACCTTCACAACCTGTCATTGAATCGACTAGTGTAGAACAACAATGACTGTTCTCACATTTAATATATACTTAGTAGAAGAATTCATTGTAGTAATTTGTGAAGTATCATTAAAAAGCACCTTAATACCGGAATTATGGACAAGTATCATGTATACTGTAAATAATTCTTAGATAATGTGTTGAAAACAGAGATAAAAAAACTTAGTAAGGCAATTTAAAAGAGGTTTGTTAGTAGGTTGTATTTTTAGTGTTTGCATGATATGTGTTTGCGATATTCACTTGACTTTATTCAGTATACCACAACATCATAACAATAAATAGCAAATATAACAATGATTTTCTTAAAAAATTTAAACATACTTTTAAAAAAAAGGGAAAAAGATTAAAATTAACTTTTATAGATTGACTTGAAATAAATAAATTAAAATCACCTATTTCGCCCCTAGCTTCCACATATTACATGTATTATTTAGTTAATAAAATAGGCCTATGTAGCTTCTATATAATTTTATATGTCCTTTAATCCTCGCCTGCTTGCCTATTTTCATTGTTGAAAAAACACATGCTTGTATTTTTCATCGCTTTCGGTCGGCTGCTTAGAAATTGATCGATCATTGTTTAGTGAGTTCGTACCAGTACGTACATGATGTGTGCCTATTATGAAGAGCAGCAACCTGTTTATGTCCGTGTCATATGTCGGAATAGAGGAAGTGTATTAATATATAATTAAATATATAGGCCGATATAAATTTATACATGTTTAAGAATACCACAATAATTTTCAAGCTCAATACCATATAGAAAAGGCCTAGGCCTATAGACTATATATTCGGCACATGAGGACTTTACAGAACAATAAAAAATGCTGAACGTTTCAAGAAATATACTTATATTCCTGATAAGCCGTTTACGTCTCTGTGGTCTGCTGTATGACACTCACCTTGATAGCGAGAGGTTGTGGGTTGAATCCCGCCAGATTATCATTTTTTCCCCGTACATACACTCGGCGTTGGAATGCCGTGTTCAACCTTTAAGGCGGTTTTCCACTAGGCGAATTTATTCGCGCGAACGGAAAGCGTCGGTTCGCTTCTTCTTGAGCTCTGATACTTTTTTTGCTTCGCGAAAAGTAGAAACAATTTGAACTACCGATTTCGCTGAAGTGAAAACTGCGATAGAAACGTGAATGCGCGTGCGCATAAACCGACGCTTTCGATTCGCGCGAATAAATTCGCCAAGTGGAAAAACGGCTTCAGAGATGCTAGTGTTATCCTGTGAGATTATTGCCGATCCTGACTGTCGTGTGAGTGGTCCTTATTATTATCCTTATATTATTATTATTATTATTATTATTATTATTATTATTATTATTATTATTATTATTATTATTATTATTATATTATTATTATGTCGTGTGAGTGGTCCTTATTATGGTCCTTATTGTCGTGTGTCGTGTTATCGGTCCTTACATCTTGCAGACGAACTGTTCCGCAGTTTTCTGTTGTAGAATAATTACAGGCCGTACTATTATGTATCAATCAACTTGCTCATTTAACGATTGTTATGACAAGACATTTTCAATTGAATCTCATGCTTCTGGATGTCAAAGAAGGATTATAGGATCGACCAACAAAAGTGGGAACTGATCGTAATTTGAAAATTGGTTCCTATATTAAATCCTATATCTCATAACAAAATTAGGCATATACATTGTTGATGATGAAGTCTCATGGACAATGCTTTATATTGTGCAATACTATTAGTAGGTCAACTAGGTACACGGACACCTTCTTTGTGAAAGTGCTGGCAGTTCCTGGGTCGGTTCGATTTGGTTTTATTCATTGGCATGGAACTAATCACCAACAATTATGAGAGATAACGCGTCGTTAAACCTTTAAAAAAAATGCTAGTTAGTTCAAGGCGATGTGTGTTATGGATCAGTGGACTTAATAAACTATAATCCAGTTTTCAGCAGGAGCAGTATACTTTTTATACCTGTGACTTTCAGGAAATCTAGAAAAACAGCACTAATGTACCTAAAGGTCCCACAACGTGCTAAAGTTAAGGTACGTGAACACGTGCGTTTGTGCGATAATACCACGTGTGTTTGCGGGACAATAAACCTACCACGTGCGTTTGTGCGACAATAACATGTGCATTTGTGCGACGATACCACGTGTGTTTGTGGGACAAGCGAGTATTCGTGACCTAGTGGTAACGGTACTTAATAATAATAATAATATTGGTCAGCTGTTAAGTTTGATTTAAAATCTGGAAAACTCCAAATTTCTCAACAAAACAATTTTAAACATACTAGAATGTCGGGAATATTTCAAGTGGAATTGTGGAAGGAAAAACACATTCTGGAATTTTGTACTCAAATAATCCATTGGCCTATTTTTTTTTTTTAAATTTTATTTCAACCACTTTATTAAAAAGGATAAAACATTCAGACAAAACCTAGGTCACAAGCTTACCCTGCAAATCAGGAGGCAAGGCAAGGTAACGAAAACATAAGGAAAAGGACAAAAAAAAAGTTTAAACATCATAAAATCAGCAACGGTTTAAAATAAATTTTTCAAGTTACATCGTTACGAGGATACATCATGCAGGATCTTTTTATAATTCAGGTGTCATATATCGTGAGTTTTGTTTTTCAAAATAATAAGATAGAGGTGGTGGGGACCAATTTGTAAATTTCCTTGCATCAAAAATGTATTTTGAACAGCTAATTGCTGTTCTACAAAGGTCCTCCATGATGTATCCCGTCGCTCTCTTTGAAATGTTTTTTCCACATAGTATGTCTGAGACTTCCCTTAATATCGCTTTCTACTGAGTGGCCAAGGGAGCCAACCTCAATGGTAACATATTTTACATCTATAGATTCACTTGGCATTACCAAGGCTTTGTTTAGAATTGTGTGGAACAGTTAATTCCCCTATAACCATTAAGGGTTTTGCTCTATCGACAACAATAATATCAGGTCGAGCTGATGCGATACAATAGTTGACAGTACACTATCGTGTCTCCATGTATGTCTCATGGAAAGTAGTTGGATTATTCCGAGAACACAATTTGCATAAAGCAGACGTATGAATTTTCCATCTCCGCAAGTTAATTTCAGTTGGGAGTGTATCAGACGCCGCCCTTAAAACAAAAGAAAGCTGGCCAGGTGGAAGAACCGTTAAAATTTTACCCCAGAACTCCTTGTCACTTTCTAACTCGATAGCTTCAGTACTTTTACATTGTACTGATAATGAATTAAGTTTCTCGTTCCATCTGGCTTCAGCTTTATCGTTAGCTACCTTGCTTAGGTTTTCCTTACACTTTTTATATGTGCAATTTAGGTCGGCTTCGTTAAGAAGCTCCATCCCAGGGAGAACACATTTTGGAATTAGCTTCCCCCCTGGGTCCAAGTTGGGGAGCATTTCTTTTAGGAGCCGATCCTTAGTATATAAAAGTTGAGCAAGGGCCGTGGCTTTAGTATGTTTGTACAAGTCAGGCATATAAGGCAAGCCTAGCAATTTAGGATGGTGCAAAATTGCAATGGTTGTGCTGCGAGGAAGTTGAAGCCATTGTTTAATTGACCTATTAATCAATGCTTGAGCCTTTTCTAGATTTGATTTAGCTATGTCATTTACAGTAACAAAATATCTAATACTCGGGATCATATAGTACAGTATGATCCATGTCTTATATTCACCTCTAATTTGTTTTGTTTTTTGTTTTTTTATAGATTTTCCATAAATTGTTTAACTAGCTCCAAGAGTTTAGCACCTGCATTAGCAGCCGACTTACATTGGCGATTAGATGTAATTCGTCCAAGGAATTTAGTGGGATTGTCTTTAACAAACTGAATTGCTCATTTTCTAATGAACAACTATTATTTTTATCATTAATTGATAGGAAATAGCTCTTATCTGGTCTAGGGGTGAAGCCCATTTCTTTAGCCCTCGTACTGAATTCATCAAGAATTTTTTGATGATTATTAACATCACTAGTAATAATGGTTAAGTCATCGGCAAACGCTTTGGCAACGTGAGGGATGACAGAGAGAGTTTTGTTTTACCCAACTCCCGTCTAATTTTAGGAAGTGGCCTTTTGGGAGGGGTTGTTTCTCTAAAGATCCCCAGGCCAGATGCCAATTTTCCTCTGTAAGTGCTATCTCATTGGAGCGAGATTCTCCTTTACATGTGAGGTACACTGATCCATCATGTTTGAATCCTGAAATCTTCCCCAGGTACCATCCTGGCCTGGGAATACTTTGTTTAATGTAAACATAGGACCCTTCAGGGGGTAATTTTTCAGAATTTTGGACAGGGATATTTAGACGATACCCAAGGTCTTTGTTTTCCCTAACAACATCGAGAAGCGGATTAAAAGCTATGAGGAATATAATAGGGGAGAGTGTATCTCCTTGGAAGATACCCCTTTGAATACTTCTCAAAGTCTCCCATTTGGCACATTTAATTTTAACTCTTTAATTATTATATATCTTATAAACATAAGAGCATATACAGTTCGGAACATCATAAAAGTTCAATAGTTTAAAATTCAATTCATGAGGGACGCTTCCAAAAGCATTGGCTAAGTCCAGAAATGTCACAAAGGCGTCATGCATCTCAAAAATATACAATTTTGGCAGAATGTATAGGCCTTCAATAAAGAGTGCACAAAATAATAGGCATAAGCAAAGAAAAGCACTGATAGTGTATTTTATGGTTGTCTATGGGGGGGGGGGGGGATAAATCGGCCTTTCCAAGTCTGTTCCAAGACAAGAGAGGGTTTATTTTTTCCATGCAATGGAATACCTAAGAACCTTGAAACGGGGGATAATAAAGGAGCGCAAACAGGGGTGGCGCCAAGATTTGTCCGGTCTATGATGTCCCGACCAGGGGAGAGGGGGAAGGGGAGATGAGCGCGTAAGTGGGCGTGGTCGGGCATTGCTCAAAAATTCACGGAAGTGACCCAGAGTTTGGAGCCCCCTGTAACTATGACAATTTCTGGTTTTCGAAGGCTTATTTTAACTATTACGAAGTCGACTGATATGTAAAAGATAATTTTTTCTTCTCGATGAATTGTGTTTTCTCCCTATGGTTTGTGGGGGTAAGTCTCCCCAACAGTGTTCTGCTACCCCCACTGGTGCCACCACTGGGCGTGCCACACCTGGGCACGAAGGTGAAATGGGGGTGGGGCTAACTTGACATGAGGAGGAACCAGAGCACAAAATATGGTGAATTTAACTTACTTAGAGCTTAATATTTTGCTTCGAACAATTCCAGTGCGGGGGAAATGGGGCGTACAAGCTTTCTTTTGAAAAGTTGTCCAGTGGCGAAAGTCCCTGTAAAATATAACAATTTAGGGTTTAAAGGGCACATTTAATCAATTTTAAAAAGATAGAGTATACTGATATGTAGAAAATACAAATGATTTTTTTTTCTCAGTGACAAATTTTGGTTTTTGTCACTGACTGGTGGGGGGGAAAAGCTTTCCCCGACCGGCCCCCTCCCCGGCCCCACTGGTGCCACCTCTAGAAATCAGTAAACAAAATTGATATTAATAAGTTGCTGCATGGTAAAATATATTGAATCTGTCATCTTGATAATATAATATTGATTGGAGAATATGCGATCTGAGAAAATCAAGAAGGGTGAGATTCAGGGAACAATTATAGTTGGTCTAAGATTCAAAGAAATTTCAAGTCTGTCTTGTTCACATTTGTGGCCCTAAAAAATCGTTATTGGATATGACTATATAATTAATATAGGTTTAATATTATGTCCTTATGTTTTCTTTTAGTTACAATATCAGCTTCACCAGTACAATTCAAAGGAATTCTGTTACAAGCCAGGCGAACAAATGGGAATACAACTCCAGTTGGGACATGGCAGACCCCGCCAATTGGATTTAAATTCCTCCAATGCTCAGCTCCTGGTGATTCTATTACACATTCAAACAGTGATCTTAAAGCAACTGTTTCATTTGTTTGGGTGGCTCCTAGCACAGGAAACGAAGATATCCAGTTTGTGTAAGTAGACACATGCTAAATTGAAAGATTAGTATTGTTTATTCTATGCCTTAAATCTAAATATTAATACATTTATTATTGATTATAAAACATTTTTCTATTCTTGTAACATAATTTACTAAATTACTGTAAACATTTTGTTTATCAATATTGATAATATAAATGATAATTTCAGTATAATTTATAAATAATAATAATAATAAAACAATATATAATCCAAATTAATAATAATAATAAATAATAATAATAATAATAAATAATAATAATAAAATATAATGACAATATATAGGCCTGCATGCATAATATTTTGAATTGTACATTTTTAATTAATCTTGATTGTATTGATTATATTTTATTGGAATACCTTGCTGTGAATTCTTTTTCGTGTTTGAAATAAAAAATGAATAAATGAATATTATTAGCATTAGACATTAGGG